TTCAGTCTCTGCTAAACAGCATCAACAAACCAGCCTGTGGACTCTAACTTCCACTCCTTTTGATCTGGAAAATACACGTTCCCTTCTCTTTCACTGTGGTATTAAAGTACTGTATCCCCTCAATCACAAGCCCCAAAACAGTGGCCCCCAAGACACTGAATGGAATCATGGCTGTATTTAAAATCCATTTGAATTACTGTCCACGGCTGATGTTTAGAGAGCTCACATCAAGTTCAGATCATTAGCATCTCGTAAAACTTCAAAAGCCCCAGCTCTTCAGGGTCCACAGTCCTGGTAAAGGCCAGAAGCTGAATGGGGTGGCCCCCTTCGGTGGGGATGTGTCTCCCTAACTCACCAGTCTTTTCACTCTAAGCCTCTTCACGCCTCTGTGCTGTCTTCCTGGCCCCATAGGCAGAGGTCATGACCCCTGCCCTAGCCCAAGTCTGAAGGCCAGGTTTCTGCTGACAGCAACAGTGTTAGGACTTCCCCAGCAACTTGAAGAATCTCAAAACAGGCAGCCTGGAGTTCTGGTCCCCTGAGGGTCCTGCTGGAGTGCCCAGCCCTGACCTGGCCAGGCCCTTTCTATGGGCTGGATATTGGCACAACACAGACTGGACTGGCATATGATGTGGCTGCATCCATCCAGAGATTGGGGACTTCCGTTATGCCCCAGGAACCTGATTTCCATCCTCTCTTATGCTGAGAGAAGTATTGTAGTTTAGCTTCTCCTAATCTGCAAAAAAATTCAATGGACAAGATCTGCAAGTTTGGCTCTTTTTTTTAAGCATCTATATTTCTTCCTGTGAGTCAGTGTATTCAACAATGCTACTTAAAATTCAATAAATAACGGCAAATGAAATTGCAAAAATGGATCATCACTTTTATGGAAAATCATCTAAACAAATGTTTTGCTCCAAATGTCAAGCATTAGAGGATTTTTATTAAAATGCTGAGAGTGAGTTCCCTAGAGGAAATGAGCAATTCAAAAATAGGAGTAACAGCACTAATTGATACTTCAAATGCAAATGGCTCTCCACGTCCTAAACGGAAATGGGACTGTGGTACCTGAAGTGACATAGTCATGCAGTGGGAACCTCTGGGCCCAGTAGACAGCAGCTGTGCTGGACCTGAAGCTATGGGTGAGGGAATCCACAAGAGAGATTAGTTCAATGCCCAGTGGAGCCTTGTACAGAATTCACTGTTGTAAAAGTTTCCCAGAGTTCCAGTGACAAGGGGGGGAAGCCAGAACCTAGACTGTCTCAACCAGGGCACAGTGCTGCGAGGTGCCAGCACTGCTTGGCGCCACGTAGGTCCTTCTTAAAGGAGCCTGTGTATCCACCCTCCCTTCTCGGGAGTTTCGGTGGTTAATTTCTTTGGAGTAACTGCTCAGGTGTGTGCCCACTTGGTGCCTTCTCCCCAGGCTCTGAGGACGTTGTCCCATAAAAGTGTTCATTCCAGCCCTGACTATTTTGGCTCAATGATAGAGCATTAGCCTGCGGACTGAAGGGGCCCAGGATCGATTCCAGTCAAGGGCATATACCTTGGTTATGGTCACATCCCCAGTGGAAGGTGTGCAGGAGGCAGCTGATCAATGTTTCTCTCTCATCGATGTTTCTCTCTACCCCCCTCCCTTCCTCTCTGTTAAAAATCAATAAAATATGTATTTTTTAAAAAGAAATGCACATCCCACAGCTTACTCCCAAAGGCTCACCCAGCAGGTCCTGGTGAGGACCAGGAAGTTTAAACCATTGCTCGGGGGAGGTTCTGACATATACATGGTTTGTTGGCCAGACTTTTGAGAAACACTGACTCACAAAGCTGATGCCAACATTTCATGATTCCATCTCCAGCACCAATTTTAAAAACATACTTCTGAGAAATGTAGGCCATATAAAAATCTGAATTCATAATATGAAACTTCCCCATCCTGATTGGAGATTATATTACTCTGAAATTTGATAAGGAAAGGAAAGGAAGAATCTATCCTGCCTTCCCTGTATAAACATTAATGGAGTAACCGAATAGTCTATGAGGGAGAGTTGTTCCTTGTGGAAATCCAGCTAATAGATGCAGAAGGAATGATTCCTAAATTTAATTACTTCTTTACAGCTACTAGTGAAATAAGTGTAAGGAGAGAAACCCAAGATGGAGGCATAGGCTGTAGGACACCCGAATGCAGCTACACCAAACAACCAAATTTGAATTTAGAACTGAAAACAGGGGGAGGCATTGCCCTGAAGCACCAGATGGCTGGCTGAGAGGAGGGCTCTGCCATCTGGGAAGGAGAGAGAAGGCACGCCTGAACCTCAAGACACTGTGAAGGTACAGAGAACTGTTGTGCGTGAAAAGGCGCTGGCTTAATCCCGGTGCTGAGAGGAAGGGCCGCGGACCGAGATTGCTGCTGGCTTACTCCCTGCCCGCAGAGAGGGCGGGCCGGGCTGAGTTCGCTACTGGCTTACTCTGGCGCGGAGAGGGCGAACAGCTAACGCGGCTGGCTTTCTTGTCCGAGAGGAAAACAGAATCACCCTATTGCTCTGATAAATGGCCCCAGACAGGGAGAGCCAGACTGTCAGGCAGCGGCGGAGATCTCTTGGAGGTTGTTATAAAGCTAAGAGGCCATTACTGTGGGACTTGGGGAGGAGCCGAAGGGAAAACAAAGTTTGTCTGCACCAACCCGAGACCCCGCCCTACCTGTGGCTGAGCACAGAAGCTCTCCCAGAGGCTGGCTTCTCTAAGGAGGGACTTGCAGGAATCCAAAGCTTGTCTGCGCCTTTACCAAAGAGGTGCTCGCGTGCCTGCAACCAATCTTCCAAAACTCTCCACGAACAGGACTTTCTAAGGCGAAAACTGACAGGGACCAAAGATTGTCTGCGCCACCCCGAGACCCCGCCCTATTCAAGCAGAGTACGGAAACCCTCCTAGCTGAGACACTGCTGATCCTCACAGCCAATTGGCTTGGAGATCAATGCTTCCCAGTGATACCAACACTAAGCAAGGCTTAACAACAAGACTGTACACACAGCCCACAAAGGGCTACACCAAGACTGTCCACTGCAGGGTAACTGGAAGGCTGTGCTACTGGGCTCTACCAGAACACCTAGCACACAAAGCTATTCCATCAAATCAGGGAAAACACAACTAAAATGCAGACAAGAAGAAGGACACAAAGGAAGGAGATGGAGAGGAAAAGAAAAGATTGGACATTGAGTTCAAACTACAGTTCTTAAGGTTATTCAACAAATCCTAAAAAGGCCGATAAAATTAAAATGAGACCTATGAGGATATGAAAGGGAGCAACTAGAAATATAAGGGATCAACAATAAATGAAGAAAACATTGTCTGAAATAAAAAATATTATACAAAGTCCTAAAAAACAGACTGGAAGATCGCAAGAATCAAGACAAAGATTTAGAACACAAAGAGCAGAGGACACTCCTCTGCAGAAGGGAGAAGATAAGAGAATCCAAAAAGTTGAAGATAGTGTAAGAAACCTCTGGGACAATTTCAAGCGAACCAACATCAGAATTATGTGGGATCCAGAAGACAGAGCAAGATACTGAAGAGTACTAGAAGATATAGTGACAGAAACTTCCCCCACTGGGGAAAGAAGAAATAGACTTACAAGTCCAGGAAGCCCGCAGAACCCCAAACAAAAGGAATCCAAGGAGGACCACACCAAGGACATATCATATTAAAATTCCAAGAGCAAAAGACAAAGAGAATACTAAAAGCAGCAAGAGAAAAGCAGGTAGTGACCTAGAAAGGAGCACCCATAGATTGTCAGCTGATTTCTCAACAGAAACCATGCAGGCCAGAAGGGGAATGGCAAGAATATTTCAAGGTGATGAATAACAAGAACCTACAGCCAAAAATAATCTACCCAGCAAAGCTATTACTCAGAATCAAAGGACAGATAAAGAGCTTCACAAATAAAAAAAAGCTTAAAAGAGTTCATCACCACCAAACCAGAATTATATGAATTGCTGAAGGAGGTTATTTAGGAAGAGGAAGAAGATAAAGATAAAAAAATTATGATCAACAAATACATAGCTATCAACAAGTGAATCTAAAACCAAGGGAATTAAAAAAATCTGATGAACAATATTAACTGGTGAATATAATAGAATCGAGAGTATGGAAGGGGAGTGGACTGACGATTCTCAGGGAAAAGGGGAGTGGGGGTGCGGGAAGAGGACTGAACAAAAACTGTGCACTATGGTATGAGGGACAATGGGGCTGGGAAAGGACAGAGGGTGGGGTGGGAACCTGGTGGAGGGGAGCAATTGAGGGGGGAAGCGGATCACATTTGTAATAATCTGAAC